CTGACTGGGAGCACAGCATCCAGCAACTTGCAGGAATGATTTATATCAGCTGGGGATTGAACCAGATTATGTTTAGCTTTAGTCCCCTCTTTCAGAAACAATAATGTTATGAATAATCCTTTTATGTTCATACATCTTGTATAAATATCTGAAACATGTATAAAACCAAGGAGAGGAGGGAATTCATTAAGGTGGTCCAGGGGAATGTTGCTCTGAGAAACAAGGGGCTGCTTAGGAGAGTTAAAATTGGTTTATCCCATTAGTTTTTTCTTAAGAAAGAAACCAGGGGAAACGAAATCTAACAAAATTTTTCTGAACAATGGTGGGTATTAGTTTGTGGAAGCATATTCCTGAGGAGCTCAGGGGAGCATTAGTGTGTTAGTTCAGCTGCCCTAAAATATGCATGATAGTTGTTCTTCTGTGTTTTACTGCAAAATTCCCGATCAGGCAGCTCCAAAGTCTGGAATCAATAGTAATTTTTCAATAGAGTTCCATGGATTTACAGGCAGGCCCCATGAGCTCATTATTTAAAATAAATGAAGGGAAGAAATAATGAATCAAAAAAGTGACAGGGGCAGCGATTTTTTGGAAAACCCCCCTAATTTTAAAGAGACCTTCAAGCCAACTTTTTAAGACAAAACAGGGCATGCATTGAATTTTCAGCTCCATGACATCACGTCACCCTGATTTCATCTGGTCCCCGCATGTTCTTGGTGGGAGCGTAACTCGATGCAGCTCCATCCAGCTCGTGGCACGCTGTGATTTATTACAATTTAAATGATAAAGCACCCAAGAATGTTCAGGCAATTGGATTAGCCCATTGACTGAATGTGCAGACAGCTATTTTTAGGAAAGAGATGTCAGTTTATGCAATATTAGATGGCCTGATCTGTATTTTACTGGGAGGGGGGGACAGGGGAATTTCCTTTATCACATGGCTCTGATGTTACCTCTGTGCTCTGTTCTTTTTAAGTGGGGATCTGAATGTCACAAGGTTTTATTCATCAAAGGTGAGACCAAGTTCTTGACACCCTGTGCTGAGTCCTCGGAGAGAGAGAGAGAGGCTGGCAGGATAAACCAAGCCCAAATCGTGCCTGCAGTTTAAAGAGGCTCAGGACACGGGTTTTGGTGTTCCCACATTCTGTAGGGATGGGTCAGTAATGATAATTTACGAGGAGGAGCAGGACTAGAGCTCGCCTAGAACACATGCAAGTCTCTGGATGCCAAGTTCTTGATTCACACCATCCCATCCCCATAAATTATCAGGTGGATCCTCCAAGCTGGAAGCTGCTGGGACCCACAGCTCCAGAGAGACAGACGGGAAGTGGAAAAAACGATGCTCCTGTCTTTTGTTTGACAAATATTTTAGGATAAGGCTCCACGCCAAAGCAAAAAATAACCCTGAAACTGGAATAATTCATGAATAACGTGGCACGACAATAAAAGGTTGGAGTTAGTGCAGTGGGTTCTTTAATTCAGCCAAGAGGAGAAAGTGCTAAAATCAACACAAAGGGATCCCATTAGGAGATGAAAGGCTTGTTGCAATCCCTTTGGTTTACTCAGCTGGGGCACTTTAGGAGCACTGAGTGCTCAGGTGTGGTTTAATTCTCCTTTTCTTGTGTTCCTAAGCGGGGCAGGGGCTGAGGGCGTGCTCAGGTGGGGAGGGAATTCGAGATGTGTATTTTGAAGGACGGCATTAACCATTCCGGCCATCCTGTTCCAATCTCGTTCATCTCTTTGTGACACAAGCCAGGGAAAGGCCCCTGATGGCTCCAAAAATGTGTTCCTGTCCTGACAGCAAACTCTTCATTTTACATGAAAGCATCAGCAGCTTCTGGGAAACAGATTAAATCTAGTTCCAAACTTTCTCTTGATATGGATAAAAAATGTCTAGGACTGATCCCAGCAGGAACGAGACCTCCTGCTGCTGAGCTCTTGGTTCAGTGTTTTAACATCTGATCTTACTGTCCCTGGGTCAAAACGATGCCTGGTGCAATTCTGACAATGACATTAGGGTCAGCTCAGGAAATAATTCCTTCCAGTGCATGTGTGGGTTTTGAATCCACCAAAGTCCAGCTCTTAGGAACAAGGAGAGGCTCTGAAGGCAGCAGATAAAGAGAAAAAGCCAAAATTCAGATTCATTTAAAAACAGAAAAGAGCAGGTTTAAGTGCTCATTCTTTTAAACATCTCTATTTTTGCATCTCCTCTAGTAATAAAAATGTTTTGGGTTATAGAAGAAACATGGGGGCCTCACCAATGCTGAGGATTTCAGGGATTAATTGCTTAGATATTGCTAATTGTGAGGGGGGGGGGATCACTAGAGAGCTGTTACCTTTTTCTTCTGTTTTGGCAGCAAGTAGGAAAAAGCTGAAATGAAAGGATATGAGAAGATACTGTGGCCCATGTGATGTAAAAATCAAAATCAGAAATTCCCTCATGGAATAGCCCTCCTGCTTAATCCCCCAGCTGCAGCTTCCAAGCCCCTCTGGGCTGGGCTTTCCTGGGCCCCCTGGCAGGATTTACATTAAATATAAAAGTCATGAGGGTAATTCTGCAGTCAGGGGTGGAGATGGAGCTGTGAAGTGCAGGGATCCCACAGGAGTCAGTGCTTCCCATGGCAAACCCTGGGCTTTATCCCAGGGAATTCCCTGATCCTGACATCCCAGGCTCACCTCACTGCTCTTGTATTTATCTACAGTGAGGCCTGCCTGTCTGTGAGACACAATTCAGTGATAGAGGAAAATATGTGCAGAGTCAGGGAGGGATTTATCATGATCTATTTTAAAATAAAATCAATAAATTAGGAAGCAGCAGTTTTGCAGCTTTTGAGTGTTGAGGTCAAAACAACCTGAGCATCTCAAGAAGTCTTGATTAAGCCAAGATTTGTCTGTGCAATTCTTCTGTGTGACTTTTCTTCTGACTAACGTGAGTTAAGAGAGCAAAATCTTCCCTAAAAGCTGTGCAAGCTGCCAAATGCAGCTCCAAACATCCAAAAACTACTTGGAGGGTGGGAGTCAACAACTCTGACTGTGCTCAGAGCTGCTTGAAGGCACAACTTCATCCCCCCCAGTGCCACATCACCTATACTGGAGGTGTCTTCACGGGCACAGATGGGAAAGGCTGTAAAGGAAACATTTTAAAACTCAGGGTGCATTAGAGGAGTGGCTGCAGCACGGTGATTTATAGCTGCAGTAATGGACTGGGTCTCAGCAAGCTGAAATCCAATTATCAGCACTGCCATCTCAGGCAAAATGCTGAAGTCAAACTTTCTCATCGGTGCTTTTAGGTTGGGGTTGGTTTTCAGAGGTGCTCAGCACTTCCTCACCCCACAAAAAATAACACAGCCCTGGCTTGGATAGCCAGTCTCCCCTCCCCTGTCCAGGAGGGAAGGAACAGATTAAAAAAAAAAAAAAAAATAAAAGAAGCCATTGAATCAGATTATACCTGATACTACTGTGCTTGATAAATATTTTCAATAGCTGGGTTGAAAATCAATAATCTTACTCATGTTGTCAGGAAAATCAAAGTGAGGAGAAGAGGTTAAAAATGGCAAAAACGAGGGCTGGGATTCTCTCCCAGTGTGAATCAGGATCAGGATTAGGAATGTTTCCATACCCACCTCACAAAGAGACTTGGGAGAGTTAATTCAGGCCTCTGCAGAAAGTGGCTGGAGCTCCACAGATGAAGTTGCTGTAGAAGAGCTGCATTATTAAATAATGAGGTGCCATCACATGTGAACAAAAACACTTAGAGATTTCTCCATATGTTTTAGAACACTGTGTTATTTTCCAGCAGCCTCATCCATTCCAACCTGCAGAGGATCAAACACTTCCCAGAATACCCAGAATATTTTGTCTTTTTTTTTTTTTTTTTCTGAGATGAGGAGATAGCTCAGACAGCATTGTTGTCTCTTTTTGAGGTATTGAAACCAAAACTGGGATTTCTTTAAAAAAAAAAAAAAGGAGGGAAGGTTTCACACAGCATGTGCCAAAGGAACAAAACTTCTCCCTCGACATCTGTCCCTGAACAAGAGAGGAGACCTTGGGTTTCATATCTCAGCTAAAAGATAAATGTGGAAACACCTCCCCCACTGTCCCACTGCAGTGTCATGGCTGGACTGGCAGGGGAGAAAGGAGAAATAATCGCTGCAAGATTTGCTTTTGCCACTGGAGTCTCCTCTTGCCTCTCATCTCCCAGAGAATTCACACCAGCACAGAGTCCTCCACACAACAGACAGAGGTTGTGCTTTGGCAGGATGGAACCTGGGGGAAATCCTTCCTAAAATATCCTAAAATAGAGGCTGGGGAAACGGGAGCAATTTTATTTGCCTTTGCAATGCCAGCCTGTGTGCCATGGCTGAGAGGAAAAGGAACATTTGGCTGCCTGAGGAATATGGGGACTTCAGCTCCTGGTTGAATACTTTTAGCAATTAAACCAAAATGTTGTGTTTCTCCTGGGTTTTGATCATTATTTTAAAGTTGTCTGTTCCTATATTCCAAAAGAATTGGATGCTGATGTAAAGACAGCAGGAAGGACACCACTAATTCAAACCCAGGGCTTCCCTCCTGCTACAATTGTGCTGCAGCATCTTCCAAAATCCACATTATCCCCAAAACTACACACAGAAGGTCAGGCCATGTGAAAAAGAGCAAAGGGGCATGAAGGAGAACAGGAATTATACCAAAGCTGTGCTGTTATTTTTGAATTATCCATCAAACAGCAGAGAGAAAAAAACAGATTTCAGGATTTTGTCCTACTATTTGGGCCTTCAACATCGAGATGCAACAAACAGACATTGGTGGAGTGAAAACACAATTCAATTGGAAGGCAAATTTTGTGTGTGAGGTGCTCCACGAGCCCACCAACCCTGTTCCCAAGCTGGTATCCAAAGCCCAGGAAGAACCCAGCCCCAAGCACTCCATCCAGGGAAGGAGGTGCTCTGAAAACCCTGGTGGGAAGGGGAGAAAGGGGTGAGCAAATGAGACAAACACACTTCAGGTAACTCATTTACAGAGGTGCCATTTACTGGATTCCTTGTGGAAAACCAAGTTCTTTGCACGTTCAGACATGATACAAGCACACCAAAGCAAAACCAGAGTCCACTGATGAATTTGGGATCCTTCCCACACCTCGTGTCCTTTTCTGGAGGAGCTGGAATCCAGGTGAGTGTGTGCCTTTATCCACAAATAAGTTCGTGCACCGAGAGGACTCTTCTCAAACCTCAGCATTTCTGAAGCTTCACACACAGCATTTCTTGCATAATTCATCCCACAAGTGAAGCCACCAGCAGGGCAGTCAAGTGAGAAGTGTGCAATGGCCTGGGAGCACCAGCCACAGCTTCCAGGGCAAGTTCAGCTTCTCGGATCGGAGTAGCCAGAGGGAGCAGTTTGGGGATTTCTCTCACGAGCTGAGCTTCTCCTCTTTGCCCTTCTGCCCACCTTGCAGAGGGATGCAACAGCAAAGAGCACCAGGGTTGGTGTTGGGCAGCAGCAGCCACGGAATAAACTCAGCCAGAATTATCCACTCCTTGTCCCTCAGACCCTTCAGCAGGATCAACCTCGTTTAAAGGGTGGTGTGAGAGGCACCCAGCGCACAGCAGAGCCCGTGTTCATCCTTGCATCCCTCCCACCCCTGCAAGAACAGACATTTCTATCAGGTACCACCAGCCCACTGCTGAGACACTGCTGGAGGTGGAGCTCTGCGACTCGAGGCAGCAAATCAATGATTCTAGAAGTGTCAGACATTTCAGTCCAGGAGATTAGAGATTCATTGACTGCAGTGTGGGAAGAGCTGTTAAATAAAAACAATTGCAAGCAAGCTCACCACGGAAAGCAGAGATTCTTCTTTCATCTTGGAAATTATATATATATATATATTTTTTTTTTAATTGGTTGGAATGCCCTCATATATTCCAATACAGTGCCAGAGCATTGGGTGAACAACAGAAAAACAGGAGGGGAAAAAAATGCATGACTTGTTCATAGACGTACAGAATGGATTTCATTGTTACATATGGGGGTACACCAGAGGGTCTCCTGGCATGTCACAACCTCATTCCCAACCAGGAAAGTTCCAGAGAGGAAGAATTCATTCTTAAAGAACAGCAGCCCTGTTAACCAGGACACAGAAATTCTGCCACGTGCTTTGCTTCCTTGGGCAAAGCACTTTTGGGTGCCTTTTCCCCTCCTATTCCCTCCTTTTACCTTGTATAAATGAGTCTCCACCTCTTTTTGTGCAGGGAAAAATCAGTTTCCATGTTCTAGGGACAATTTCAGAGGGAGCCTGGAGGTTTTTCCCCCTCCATGCATAACAATAATCACAAACTGTAAGATCTTACCTCACTGCATGACTTGTCTGGGTATCCATGGAGTCAAAAAGCACCAAAACTGTAACACAGGAGTAAAGTTCAGCCTGGGCCCAGGGTAAAAACCAGAATTATTGCTGAGTCCAAGACTGATGCCCATCCCTTTCCATTATTTAAAGCAGGAGATTTTTTTTTTACTGGCTGGCAAAATCAAATTTTCAGGCATTTCTTTGTTTGGCAGAGGGAAAAGGAACCCCAAATATATCAAACACAGAGGCAGTGAATGAGAGTTTGCAAATGCCTCTCGTGAACTTGGGGATGCATCCAGATCAAAGGAGCATAATGAGATATTCTGAATAATACAGCAAGATATTCTGAGCAATATTTGATGCACCTAATTACTGAGAATGTGCCTCACTGAGTTTTCCAGGAGCAGGATCAATGCCCTGCAGGTCCCTGTCCATGGATAGGATCTGCAGATTGCCAACCTGGATCGAGCTCAGGAACATCAGCAGTCACAGGTAAAAAAAAAACCTCATGAATCCAGAGGAAAAATATATTTGCATAGCATGAGAGTTGTGGCCATCCTACTGAAGACCTAAAACAACTCCTCAGATGATGATGGAGCTCTTCCCAGTTTGGTTTTGGCCTTGGAATGAGAGCCCAGGTTAAACCAGAGGTCCCAAACCTTCTCTGGACTTGGCCACACATTTCTCAGCGTCCAAAAAAAAGCTGAAATCATCCAATCCAGGACCACAATTAACCCCATAAAAATATTTTGGGCTGCAGCACTCATCCAGCAGCCCCAAATGCCAACGAGCCAGCCCCATCCCAACCCACCCGAGAGAGGCTCCTGGCTGATAATTTCACCTTTTAAATGGATCCCTCCTACCAGATCTGGCTTCTCTGAAGCTTCAATCCTTTCCTCTGCTATTGACTAATATTGAAAATTCCAGCCATGCATATTCACTTCCTCTAAATACCTGATCCTCTTCCATGGAAAATATTATCTTGAGGAAGAGCCCAAATTAAATTGTGCAACTCTCTGCAACCTTTGGTGTTACAGTATCAGGTGGGGAGGCAGCAGCAATACTGGAAATCACAGGATCTTCTGGAAACCCAGCATATTATTAGGTTTGATGAGATCCATTTTCTTGATGGCTTCTGAAAGATCTTTGTGCTAATTAGCTAAGAATACCACTGAATTATTTAATTATCTCTACTTTTGTGCCATAAAATATGTTGTCATATCACACTCTGTCTTGCTGTTGCTCTTCATAGTTAATGATGCCTTTAGAGTTTCCTGATTTCCTTTGTTCTCCCTCTGCAAGTGGTTTTTGGTGGTGCTGGGGAAGGAGGGGAGAGCAGAGAGGGGAGGCCAAGGAAAAATCTCAGGTTTTAAAGGAATTTTGACATGTGGGAAAATTTACACATGCTCAGCTCCATCTCCCTGTGCCATACACAAAGCGTGTATCAAACCAACAATTCTTTCCAGAGGTAAAAAGAGGAGAAAACACCATTTTGGGGGGAAAAAAAGAAAGAAAATCAGCAAAGAATGTTTTTTTTTACCAACGAAGAGGTAAATTATGATAATTACTCTGACTGGTAGGGTCCTTAAGCATTACTAATTAGCATTTATTGCCTGGATTATTGAAACAATGTGTGTGTTCCCAAGAGTGAGGAAGAACTGGGATGCTCTTTCCTTGGGAGCCCTGGGAAAAAAACGGGCAGGGCAGCGGGAATGCGGCACAGCTGGCACCGGGGCTCCTGTCCCCGAGCACAGCTGGAATCGAACCTCTGGGGAAACCCACGCCTTGAACTCCTCAACCCTGCCTGCCTCCCCCCCCTCACCTTCCCTCGCTCAAATTTAGGGTGGAAAAAGGAAAAAAAAAAATAAAAAAATCATCCGAATAATTTCGAGGTGCAGATTAAGGTGGAGTTAATGCTCTGGGAATTGCAGTGTCTCCTGTTATTCCAGCATTTGGCACAAACCTCCTGTGAATAAACATTTCATTGCTCTAAAGCACTCAGGTATGGCCAAGCACTTCCTTACCGAGGAATTAAAGGGTTAACAAATCCAACAAAAAAAATAGCAATATTGTGGTATTTCCAACTGGAATTACGGCCGACTTAGCGAAGAGCTTGCAATCAGATTTCGGCATAAACTGCATTTTAATATCGAGCATTTATAATGTGATTTCAGTTCAGAATTAGAAATCGATCAGGAATTAATCAATCATCTAATCAGCACTGGCCACTACACAGCATCTCAACTGCAATTTGCTATCTGGCCCAATAAATCCTTAAGTACCTTGGAAATGATTCAGAGAAGAAAGGCAGTAAAAGTATTCTCCTTTTTTTTTTTTTTTTTTTTCCTTAGCTGCAGCACTGTGCAACTTTAGGTCTCGTTAAACCCCTGGAAATAAAAGAGCAACAATGGAAAACTGCAGAATGCCTCGGACCTTTTATTTTTACCTTTTCCTGCCACCAAACCCTGTGCCTTTCAACTTGGGAGAGCAACTTCCAACTCAGCCACAACGAGGTCAAAGTCACCGAGCTCAAAGCTACAGTAGCTGCTCACACAAAACTCCCAGACACCGGAATTTTGAAAATTTACGATATTTCTTTTTAAAAAAAATCCATATTTTTAAAAAAATCCCATGCCTCATTTGCTTATCTTTCTCCTTCTTAATTATTTGCATCATAATATTGCACGGAATATTTAGCAACGCGTTGTATTAAATATATTGGCAGCATATTAGGTATACTTTGAAGTGAAACTTGTTCCAGCCTGGTGGTTTTTTATTTTAGTGCTGAAAAATCTCTTCAATCCTTATTAAGCTTTACTTGTTCTATTTGTTGATTAAATTAATGCCTAATATTCATTTTCTCTTCCATTTTCCTTACAAGAGGAAAAACCTTCTTTTCGCCCACAGATTCGGGGTTTTTTTTCTTTTTTTTTTTTTCCTAATGAAAACATAAAACCATGGAAACTGATGAAATTATTATCGAAAGAACTCTGTAACACTGAGAGAAGAAAACCTTGGAGCCAGAGGAATAAAGCAAAAAAAAAAATAAACCCCGACAGCAATATCCCTCCTTTTGTCTGCAGAAGGTAAAAAAAAAAAAAAAAAAACCGCTGCAAGGAATGGTTCTGGATCGAGTTCTGCGCGCTCGAAAAGCAGCGATTGCGGCTGGATATTGGGAATGGGGCTGAGTTTTAACAGCGCTGACATTTCTGCAGCTCCCGGGCACGGACGTGGCTCAGAATCGCAATTCTGGAGAGGGAAAGGAAGGGAAAAGGGTGGTGGTGGGGGGGGGAATTCCTTTTCTCGCAGCCGCTTTTCCCTCCTCTATTCCCTCCTTTTCTCCCGGCCACAACCTCGCCTTTCCCCCTTGGAAAAGCAGCCCCGGGGGAGCGCACGGTCCGCTCTGCCCCCTCCCCATTATTGCCGTGCCCTGCGCTCATTTTTGGGGCAGCGGCCGCTCTGTCCCTTTAAAGCTGCGGCCCCAGTAATTGATGTGTCTGGGCCAGTCTAGACTGGGAGCGACTCAAACCATCCCAGTTACGCGCAAGGGCGCGGAGCCTGCGCGGGCTCCGTCCTCCCC